GATTAAAATAAATAAATAAAAATAAAAATGTATCCGTAAAGATAATGAATACTTATTCGACGTATCAACCAAATGGATAATCGGGACATCCAACAATAATAATGATTGATAATATGATATTTTTATATTAATTTATTATATTATTAGACTTATTATATGTATTGAAATACATCCACTTTCAAAAATGATATTATGATCAAAACTTAAAATTAAAATTATTTTTTTTATTTAAATTATTTTTAATTGAAAAAAACCGTCGAACCAACGAACCAACGAACCGTCGGCCTTTCTGCTCTCTCACCACCCTCCCACATCTCTCTTCCCCATTAACACTTAATTAGGCTCTAAAAATGTATTAACAAATTGATTATCCACTCCAGCTGGATCTGACCTCCGTCTCATCTTTCTTTCATGGAAAATGTAGAACAAGCATACTTTAATTAGTGTTGAAAAGGTTCAATCATGTCAGATAAGCTAAATGAATGTTTTGGGATCATTTCCACATCACAAAGGGCTTAGAAGTGTTGGCTTTTTTGATGTTGCTCCATAACTTAAGGTTACAATGATATCTAACTATTATGGTCTTATCTAGTAAGCTCACTCATTGTTAGGTAGGTCAAAAAAAAAATTGACCTAAGAGCTTGATGAATTTATTAGTAATATATGTCAATTTTCTCTTAATTAGGCTCATTTCACACAAATATATTTAAATTTTTTAAAAAATAATTATATTAATATTCTTATCAATTCGGATGTCTCAATAAAATAAAATAATTATAATTATAATTATACAAATGAGGTTGGATCTTCCTTATCTAAAACTAGTGCCTAATTATGCTGCACTCGGAAGCCTCTCTCTAGAATCTTCCAGGCAGCATCTTTTGACAAATGAAACCTTCATGTGTGTTTTTCCATTTATTACACGAGAAATAAACAAAACAAAACACAGGTCTCTATAACAACACATTGGACCTAATGACGCACTCGGCAGTAGTGCTGCCCGCATGCCCACCACTCTTTCTTTAAGCTCATGTAACCTCGTGCAACAGATGATGTTACAAGTCACAACCTCGAACAGGCACTCGCACTCCCATCATGACTCAACGCATGCAGTATAGTTGGAGAGCATCACAAGTGTTGACCACAAATTGCATGTTCTGATGCAGTAGACTGCACAAAGCTGCAGCTATTGCTTCTTCCATTATGATCAACACCACACCGACCACCTTCTCTTATCTCATAAACCTCACTCCCACTACCAACTTAATTTACTTGATTAATGTCCCTCTCGTCCTCCGCTAGCCAAACTCTCCGACTTGTGAACCACATTCCGCTAGTGGAAGCGTTGGTGGTCGGTGTATGGATCGTCATGGGCGGCTGATCATTGGATGGAGACATACCATTTGCAGAGGCCGATTCTCTCGCGTCAGTGCGCGTGAGGAAAGATTCTTTCCTCTACTTGTATATATGTATCCATCTCTGATCTCAATTGTTATCGAGTCAGTCGAGCATTGGAGTTCACTGTGTTTGGGTCGACAAACGTGTCGCAATGTTGTCCAGCAGAGTTCTTCTTGTCTTCTTGCTTCTTCCTTTAGCTGCCGCGGCCGCACCGCCCGCCTCCGTCTCCCCCGCGGCGGCGTGCAGGTCCTCCTTCTATCCCAAGCTGTGTATCGCGCTCCTGTCGCCGTTGCGGTTCCCGTCGAACCAGTACGAGTACGGCAGGTACTCAGTCAAGCAGGCGCTGAAGCAGGCCCGCCGGACTGCCACCATTCTCGACCGCTACCTCTCCGGATCCAGCGGTGGCGCCAGGGCCCACCGCGCCGTCGGGGGCGGCGGGGCCCTCGAGGACTGCCGCGAGCTGGCGGGCCTCAACGCCGAGTACTTGGCGGCGGTGCAGGCGGAGCTAGGGCGGGGGGCGAGGATGCTGGACGCGGCCGGGGTGGGGCGGGTTCGGGCGCTGATGAGCGCCGTGGTCACGAACCAGCAGACGTGCTACGACGGGCTGGAGGCGTCCCGGGAATTCCCGGAGCTGCAGGGCGCCCTCGCGGACCAGACCCAGCTGTACGGCGTGTCGCTCGGCCTGGTCACCACTGCGTTGGGGCGCAGGGCCGTCCCCGGGGTCGGGACGAACGCCGGGTCGGACTCCAGGACAGGTGAGGTTAACATGCCGCCATGATAACTCTTTCTTGACTTCCACCATGCGGACGGAAAAGTAGCCGACGTGCATGGTCGAGCGTGCATGAAACCCACGGGTGGGGACCCCACTTGCTGCGGTCCTCACGTGTCACGCGAGCCAACGGCGGGGCCCGCCGCAATGGACATCTTGAGGCCAAGAATCGCTGCGGATCTATCCCTCTCAGATTCCACATGCGACATGATGGATATAATATTCCTTTCCCCCTTACGATCCTCTTTCGCAGGCACTACCGGTGATCAAAGTTCGCCGCCGAAAGGTTTTCCGGCGATCGGGAGGATCCTTGTTGAAGGGGACCGCGAAATCGTGCCGGTGAACGCATCCCAGTCGGTGACGGTGGCCAAAGATGGGAGCGGGAACTTCACCACGGTCGGAGACGCCGTCTTGTCCGCCCCAAACGACACCTCCGCCGACGGTGGCTACTTCGTTATCTACATAGGTGAAGGCGTTTACCACGAGAACGTGATCGTTCCCATCAACAAGAAGAACCTGATCTTGATCGGATCGGGGATCAACCGCACCATAATCACGTCGAACCGCAACGTGGCTGATAGATGGACGACCTTCAATTCTGCCACATTCGGTGAGAACATACGCAACTCCGAACCCTTTTGATGCTACTGACGTGCGTCTTCTGCAAAGGATGCGATGATGGAATCTTTCCGTGTGCATTGCAGCAGTGAACGCGGAGCGCTTCATAGCTGTCGGCATCACCTTCGAGAACTCGGCGGGGCCGGGGAAGTACCAGGCGGTGGCGGTGCGGAACAGCGGGGACCTCTCCATCTTTTACCGCTGCAGCTTCCTGGGCTACCAGGACACGCTCTACGTGCACATCCTCCGCCAGTTCTACCGTGACTGCGACATCTACGGCACCGTCGACTTCATCTTCGGCAACGCCGCCTCGGTGTTCCAGGACTGCAACATCTACGCGCGCAGGCCGCTGCGGGGCCAGTCCAACGTGGTGACGGCGCAGGGCCGGACCATGCCGGACCAGGCCACCGGCATCTCCATCCATAACTGCACCGTCAGCGCCGCGCCCGACCTCGCGGCCGATCCGAGGTTCGCCAGGACCTTCCTCGGCCGTCCGTGGAAGGAGTACTCACGGACGGTGTACATGCAGTCGTTCATCGACGGCGTGGTGGATCCGGCGGGGTGGCTGGAGTGGAACGGCAGCTTTGCGCTCAGCACGTTGTACTACGGCGAGTACGCGAACTACGGTCCCGGGGCCAATACAAGCTGCCGGGTCAAATGGCCTGGCTACAGCTTGATGAACTCCATGGACGCTCTCAACTTTACCGTGTATAACTTCACTGCAGCAGTCCCCTGGTTGTCTTCGACCTCTGTACCTCATTCCGGCGGGCTGCTCTAAGGAGACATGAGCAGCATTGTGATGTTTATATATAGTGATCGACATTATAATGTGAAACCCAAACCCTTCAGTGTCGAAGCTCACAATCAGATGCCAGTCAACGCATCAACTGTAAAATACGTCACCAAGTCTTGCGCTTCCTAATGGTCGACATGCACGCAGTGAGCATCGCAAACGGGCAACATATCATCTACAAGCTATTGGATCAGGCGGGGATTGACCACTGAATTTAGCGAACCAAACGAACACCTCAAACCTCTTCTTTTCCAAGGAAGAACGGACGGCAATGCTATAGATCTCATCCGATTGCCTCGCAATGAAGCCATCGAGCACAGAGGAAAGCAGAGCCGGAGGAAGGAAGCAGATACTTGAGATCTCCGAGATTTGTGGTAGCAATGCCTTCATTACGGGGATCTTCTCCCATGTCGGAGCGTCGGAGGGACGAAAAGCGGCAGACGCAAACGAAGCGTCTTATGATGGCCGGCGCAACCACCTCCGTCATGCTGATCCTTGAAGTGGTCGGTGTCGCCGCGGTTCAGTGCAAATACAACCAATCGGCCGAGTCGAGTCTTTCCGGCAGCGGCTCAGCCTCCACGGCGCAGTTCCGCACCACCTCGGCCATTCAGGTGATATGTACACAGACCGACTATAAGAGCACCTGCGAGTCGACCCTGAAGAAGTACGTCAACGAGAGCACGGCGCCCATGGACCTCGTCAGGGCTGCCGTCTTAGCCGTCGTCGACGGGGTCGGCGAGGCCTTCAATGTCTCTGACTCGATCCAGTCCGACGATCTGAAGGAGAAGGGCGCCGATCGCGGACTGCAAGGAAATTCACCAATATGCCCTGTACGACCTAGAGAAAACGCTGGGGATCATCGATGCCCACCACCTGGACCAGCTCCCCAACAAAGTCCACGAGCTGAAGAACTGGCTGGGCGGCACGATGGCCGACCAGCAGACGTGCATCGACGGCTTCCCTGAAGGGGATCTGAAGTCTAAGATGCAGGCAGCGATGGACTCCGCCATGGACATCACCAGCAATGCTCTGGCCATATCCGGGAAGATATCCTCCTTCCTCAATCTCATTCAAGCCACCGGCTTCAGCCGTCGTCTTCTCGAAGCAGAGCCCGCGGAGCCCGGCCGGTACGTGGACGGTAATCCTTCATGGGTGTCCCACGGCGACCGGAAGCTCCTCCAGACTCCTGCCACGCTTCAATTCACGCCCAATGTTACAGTCGCCAAGGATGGAAGTGGAAACTTCACCACCTTATCAGAGGCAGTCGTTCAAGTACCGAGGAAATCTGACGAAAGGTATACTCTTCGCCAAGTGACGATCTCGTCGAATAATATTGTGCAGCTTGAGTTTGATTCTCGTCATTGTTCTTCTATGGTGTGGCAAGGTATGTAATCTATGTGAAGGAGGGAGTATACAGCGAATATGTTTGGTGATGGTCCAGACATGATAATAGTTACAGGGAGCAAGAACTATGTCGACGGCGTGAGGACCTTTAAGAGCCTCACCTTCGGTGAGTAAACAACATTGCTGATATAAGATAATCTATTATAAAAATAATAAAAATATAAATCTCATTGTCCGAAATCCAAGTAACAATCTCAAGAATAATTATGATACAAGAATTATGTTATTGTGAATCATATTTTCCTCCTTTTCATGGTTGAGAATAGTTTCTCTGTGTTGTCCTTATTTTTTTCTTTTCTTTTTTTTATTTTTTATTTTATTTTATTATTTTTTTAAATTAAGTTACTATTATAATTTTCTGTCTCATAGTTAAAAAGATGTGAGCTAAGGGCCGTTAAAGTCCACTATGGGCTGAACTCATGGACTATCAGCCTAACACGCTGTACGCCCACAGCCACCGTCACTCTTACCGCAACTACCCCATCAGCGGCACCATCGACTTCATCTTCAGCGCCGCCGCCACTGTCTTCCGGCTTCCTGACCATGCGCCGTCCACAAGCTCACCATGGGACCGTCGTCTTCGCCCAGAGCCGCGTCAGAGTAGAAGAGTCCACCGGCTTCATCAGCCAGAACTGTAGCTTCGTCGCCGTCCCCGCCCTCACCGACGCCACCCCCAAGGTCCGCTGCATCCTCGGCCGCCCGTGGAATGCCTTCTCCACCACCATCATCATGGAGTCCAACATCAGCGGGTTCATCGACCCCAAAGGATACATACCCATGAACGGCGACATCTACCTCAACACCTCGTCCTACTTCGAGTTCAACAACAAGGGCCTCGGTGCCGACACCTCGACGGGCATGAAGTGGCCGGGTGTGAAGACGATCAGCTGGGAGCAGACCAAGGCTTACACCGTCGAAGAATTCTTTCATGGACGGGAATGGATCCCGAGTTGATACGCCGGCACACTTGTTGACTTCGGTTTGTACGGTTTCTACGGATAACACTTTACAAATCAGAACTTAGGAAATCTACGGACAATCTTTAAGACTCAAAAACTTTTGTTAACATGAAAAATTATCATCTCTTTAATCTTCGAACCTATTGATTGACTGCATAACTTTAAATTCCAAAAAAAAAATATTTTGGATTCATCCGAAATACATATTTATATTAGATGAAAAAACATAGTATAAGTTTTTTTTAAATAAAAAACAAATTAATTATAGCCCAACAAATCTTCTCATCATCATTTATACATCAATCACTCATCTATTTATCTTAATATAAATCTATATCTTTTGTATTTAATCATTTAAATTAATTTTATCACACCCAATTAATTTAAAATAGATGTAACTTGAAATTATATTCGGAAAGAATAAAACTTTTGTAAAGATGTTGGCAAGCTATTCTTCAGTGTTATAGTAGTCCATTTGAATTTTTTTTCTTTATCAACTAGTTCATGAATAAAATAATGTTAAACTTCGATGTGTTTGATGCATCCGTGGAAAATAGAATTTTTCATTGTAATAGTAGACTTATTGTCACTGTAGATTTTAGTTGGTCCATCTTATTTTTCTTGAAAATTTATTGGAATTCTTTGAAACTAAATTATTATTTGACATGTCATACTTATAACCGTAACATACTCCACATTAAAACTTGAGAGAGCAATATATTTTTACTTTTTTGTTATTCATGATATTAATCTTGAGTTAAGGTTAAGCATAAATCCTAAAGTATTTTTTTATTATTTACATAATCAACACAATTACTATCAAATACAACTTAAAATTTTTTTACTTACTTGTAAAGAATATCATAATTGAGAGTTCCCTTAATTTATCTAAAAACTATTTTAGATATTCTAAAGTAATGCTTATTAGGGCTGTGCATGAATTTGTATAACAAACTAATTACAAATATAATATCTAATGTATGAAATAAATTAACCCTAACATAAGTTATGATTAGGGGGTAATGCAGAATGGATTTTGAAAAAAAAGTCAACAGTACAATTGTACTTACTGGAATGAGTTTTACAAATAGGAAAGGAACGAACTCACAAAAGTCAATAATACAGTTATATTTACTGAAATTAGTTTTTCGGATATAAAAGGAACAAACTCATAATAAAACTTTAATAAAAAAAAAATTAGTTCACTACTAAGTTTAAAATCACAAAGGGATATAGAAAGTTCACCGCTCAAGGATAATAAACAATGATACAGAACTGAAAACAAAAGACTCATCATTCAAGGAAACATTCAAGAGATACAAAGTTTAAAAGAGAACTCCAAAAGAGCTTCTGTCAATATCCTTCAATTTCTAAAGTTCCTTCTAACCCCTAAATACCAAAATAAATACTAGTGCATGAAATAAGGAATTTCGAAATTATGTATTTTATAGCTGGTAACCAATTTCTTTAATGCATTCCTTAGTTATGAAGAAAAGCACATTGAAACATTTGTAACTTATCTAAGGAATATGCTCATGAGCTATCATATTTGAGTGAGCTGAGTTGAAAATTATAAGATAAGATTATGGGCTAAAAAAAAATATCATAGTATCAATAAGATCCATATTAGCATATTGTTACAAATTAGTCACTCCCATATAAGTTTATCATTTATATTTATTGGAGCTTATAAGTTGTCATATAAAATTTTTTGAACAAATTTTTAGGATATTTTTCTTGGCATGAGAAAATTTCATTTGAATCTTGAAAATTTTTCATTCCTAAATAATGTAAAAGCCTCGGATGAATCATTTCAAATTCTAATATCATATTTTTCTTAAATTCAATAAGTATATGTAGTGAATTTTTAATATGAATTCTATCATCCATATATAATCAAATAATAATAATTTTCATACCATAAGCTTTTATATATAAATTTGGCTCACTTAAATTTTTTTAAAAATTATATTAAATAAAATACTTATTAATTCTATTGTACTATATCCTTGATGCGTGTTTCAAACCATATAATACTCTATCTAATTTGTAGACTTTATCTTCTTATTCTTTAATTTCAAATCCTTCAAGCTATCTTACATAAATCTTTTCAGTAACTTTCTATTCAAGAAGAATAATTAACATCAAATTGATAAACATGTCATCTTTTTTGGCTACCAATACAAATACTATTCTAATTATACCCATTTTAATGATCAGGAAAAAAAATTCTGAAAAATCGATACTTGGAATTTGGCTCTACCCTTTGATAACTAAATGAGTTTTATGTTTTTGTAGCGAGCCATCAATATTAAATTTTGACTTGTATAACTACTTGAGTTTAATTATTTTTTTTCCTAAGGGAAAATCGTAAAACTTCAATGTTTTATTTTTTTTCAATAACTTATAATTTATCATTCATTGCTTATACCTATTCTTCTTTTTAAGCTACAACTTCAAAACAAGTATGTTCCAAAACAAAACATGCAAAATCATCTAATATATCTATGAAAGACTATGAAATTTTCTTAGAGGTGTTTTAATATCACTAAAATTATTTAAATTAGAATTATTTCAAATATGATAAGATTTGGGTGAAGTATTAACAATAGCAAATGTGTCATGTGCCTTATCAACTCCTTCTCCTACAACTATTAGATCATCCGCTTTATAATTTCAAACTTCTTCTTTACTAAAAATAATATCACTACTTATGATTAATTTCTTAGTTGTAAGATCATAAAACTAAAACCTTTTATTTCGTTACTATACTCGACACATTTAACACTTTTATCATCAAGTTTGCTCTTTTTTTATGTAAAAATATGAAAATAAGCAACACAATCAAATATCTTTTAAGCGAGTTATATCTGATTTTCTATTTAATCATGCTTCATAGTATGTTTTTTCTTTTAGTACTTCGGTAATAAAATAATTTAATAAATATATTATCATATTGATAGCTTCATTCCAAAACTTGTTTGGCACAATTTTTCTTTAAGCATACATATGGTAATCTCAACCACAACTTAATTCCTCTACTCTACTATTCTGTTTTTCTAGGGGATATAATTTGTAGTCAAATTTCTATGAATACTTATATTCTTGCAATACATAAAGAATTCTTTAAAAATAAATTCATCCTCTTTATCAGTACATAGAGTTTTAATAAAACAATCATTTTATTTTTCTTGCATATGCTTTGAAACTTTTGAAACCAAAGAAGACTTTGGTTTTTTCTTTCAAATAGTACACTTATACCATCCTTGCAATCATCTATAAATAATCAAAAATATTTACTTTTGAGATAGTTTATATAGGTATACAAATATTTGCATATATAGGTTATAATTGTTCTTTAGCTCTCCAAGATTAACTTGTCCGAAAGAAAATTTTGTATTATTTTGTAAAAACATAAAATTCACAAACAGTATATTTATTCTTAATTTTAAGCAAACAAACTATCATATTCTCTCTCCTTAAATTTTCTCTCTCTAGAGTTTCTCTCTTTAGATTCTCTCTCTATCTCTCTCTCTCTCATTTTTCATTCTAACAATAGGGTTTTTCTCTTTCTACAATACTATTTTTTCTCTCTCTATGTAGTCTAATTTCTTTCTCTATAATGTTATTTTTCTCTCTAACAAGATCTAATAAGACTTTGATGGGATGATAAGTACTACATTACCTATTGCTCTCTTAGCAAACTCTTAGCTTCTGTAAGTCCCTAACATTCTAATCCAACTATAATATATA